GTTTGGCAGGAATCTTTAGTCTAGTGTCTTTATTTAGGTGAAATCTGGAATCTGACACCAAGATGTTCTTTGATCAGCTTAGGAGACTTCACCTGTGGATAAAACAATAGAGGCTCGTAGTATACACTTATCCTAATAATTAAATATTATGAGTTTTTATTAGATAATAATATAATATAGTTATAGATATAAGATATTATAGCTATTAGATTTCTATTATTGGTAAGCTGAAATAAAAGCACCTTCGCCTATCGTATTCTGTTTAAAAAAAAAAATCTAACTAATTTTTGAAATTCTGTTGCTAATAAAAAGAAATAAATTTATCAAAGTTACTAACTATTACCTCCAAAAATTTTTTCAGAAAAACTCTTTCTTGATGATCCGACTTTGAAGGATGATATACCAATTTCCTATATGTCACATAAGGAACTTTATGAACATAGTGTAAAAAAAGCCACCATAATCGCACAAAAAATACGTCAAATACGTAATGACGGCGAAGATAGTGTCGACGTCTATAAGTATTTAAAGATCATATATATTAATTCATGAGTAATAATAAATTTTCTTCTTTTAAAGTGCTATACTTGGTGGTTCACTCGGCTCTGCTCTCATTAAGGAAGGTAACCCGATGACATTACATTTTGTGATGTTTGTACCGACAATCATGGGTCAAGGTATTCTTGTAATTATAAAATCAAATTCAGTCTCCTAATAACAATATATAATTCTCTACAGGAACCATGGACCAACAAATGGAATGGTTACCAAAAGCTTGGGATTGCTCCATAATTGGTACTTATGCACAAACTGAGTTGGGTCATGGCACCTTTTTGCGTGGCTTAGAGACACGTGCTGACTATGATGCTTCTACGCAAGAGTTTGTTTTGAATACTCCTACACTAACTGCCTACAAATGGTGGCCTGGTGGTTGTAAGTTTTATTAAATATTATAAATTTTACCTTAAACCTGTTTAATAGTATTTTACTTGCCTTAACTACAGTGGGTCACACAGCAAATTATGCAATTGTTGTTGCACAACTTTATACCAAAGGTGAATTTCGTGGTTTGGCTCCGTTCATAGTGCAATTACGCGACGAGGAGACGCATGAACCATTACCTGGTATTGATGTTGGCGAAATTGGTACCAAATTGGGTATGAAATCAGTTAATAATGGTTACTTGGGTCTGAAAAACTTGCGTATTCCACTTAAAAATATGCTTATGAAAAATCAACAGGTACCATATTTGTGTAGGATTATGAAATCAACACTAGATTTAAAACATAAAAACTTCTGATCTGCAGGTACTTCCTGATGGCACATATGTAGCACCTAAGAATACTGTTTTAACCTATGGCACTATGATGTTCGTGCGTTGTGCTCTTATACGTGATACAGCACAAAGCTTAGCGAAAGCTTCAACAATTGCCACACGCTATTCAGCCGTGCGTCGTCAAAGTCCAATAGATCCAAAGTAAATAGATTTTATTTGGCTTTAAGATTTATTTTTTAAACTTGAATTTATTCACAGTCTGCCTGAACCCCAAATAATGGATCATACCACACAACAATTAAAACTATTCCCACAGATAGCTAAAGCAATTGTTATTAAAACTACAGGCGACAATGTTTGGAATATGTATAGCAATGTGAGTGGTGAATTGGAACAGGGCATTCTTGAGCGATTGCCTGAAATGCATGCACTATCATGTTGCTTAAAGGCAATCTGCAGTGCTGATGCAGCTAGTGGTGTTGAGCTCTGTCGCTTGGCTTGTGGTGGACATGGGTATATGGATTGCTCCAACTTTCCTACCATTTATGGCATGGCTACAGCTGTGTGCACGTATGAAGGAGAAAATACTGTGATGTTATTGCAAACGGCACGCTATTTGGTTAAAGTCTACGCACAAGCTTTGAATGGCGAAAAATTGGTACCAACGGTTGCATATATTAGTGAAGCAGTAAAAGAAACAGAATTTGTCAACTTTGATGGTTCGCTACAAAGTATTGTTAAAGCCTTCGAATTTGTTGCTGCAAAGTGTGTATGATTAGGAATTAATTTATTGATTTATTTAAAATATATAATTATTTTTCAGTAAAATACGTATTGCCTATGAACGTATGGAAAAACTCCGTAAGCAAGGTTATGGACAAGAAGTAGCTGCGAATATGTGTGGCATTGAACTAACACAAGCAGCCGATGTATGTTTAATTATAATATATAAATTTGAATTATATTTCATTTACTAATAATAATTACAGTTGCACGGACGTGCTTTTTTAGCACTTTCTGCTTACACAGAATTACTAGCGATCGCACGTGGTGTCTCCAATGCAATGGGTGATGTTTTAAAAACTATTCTAGAATTGTATTTAATCGATGCTTGTTTAAATCGAGTTGGCGATTTTTTGAGAGTAAGTAATAGTTATACTTGTATTTTTAGTTAATTATTATTATTAAATGCAATAGTTGTAATAACTATTGCTATTAAAAAGTGTTAAATAGTATTAACAATGGATTATATTCTTGTAAGAATGGCCGAGTCTACGTCCTGGAGCCTATGCTTTAAATCTCTGTGAGTAAAATCAGCCTGTCCGTGTAATATGAACTGCCCTTGCACAATTGAGGTCATGTTATAGCCATATGCTAAATATGTATTTGTCATTTATAAGCACATCTATCCCTAATTTATTCCCAAATTCCACCTCTACTTTTCATAACTTTGTCCATCTGTTAAGGTGTCTTAACTTAGACATAAATTTTGGATCTATTGATTTATAGTTAAGTCTTATTGAAGTGACAACGTTTCTTTACCTTAATCCTAGTTAGCTTCAATTATCACACTTACATCCTATCACTTTTTGTCTGTTTTTTCTATCAATATTAAGAATAGATGCTGATCTAACCACTTTTGTCGTGGATGTAGCTTTGCGAATGAAGAGGAAATTATACTCCACCTCATGTATTACTGCACATTATTAGTTAGATTCAAAATTTTCCTGACCCCTTTCCTAACTAACAAAGCTGTCATGCTTTTGCATTTGGGATATATCCAATATCATTGACTTGTCAGATTGGTTCCCTTCTACTAAAATGGAAGAGTCGCACCTTTTCAAAAGAACGCTAGCTTTTTGAGATTTCTACCTTTAAAGAGTTTCTTCAGGCCTGATGTATAGAGTGTGTTTCATCCATAGTATGACAATGAATTATGATTCTTGAGTTTTGGTGCACGAGGTTGTTAAGCCAACCAAAATAATTTTTTTGAGGACAGATGTAATAAAGCTATTTTATATTATACTAAAATCGATTTTTTTATATACATTTCAGTTTATCAACTTCAGTGGAACTGAAATAGATAATTTGGAAATACGTTTGGAGAACTGTTTGAAACAATTACGACCGAATGCAGTTGCTTTGGTGGATGGTTTCGATCTACATGATCGTGTATTAGATTCAGCTTTGGGCGCTTCAGATGGTAATGTTTACGAACGTATATTTGAATGGGCGAAAAAGAGTCCCTTAAATACCGAATCTGTGAATAAATCATTCCATCAGCATTTGAAGCCATTTATGAAAGCTAATTTGTAAGAGAAAAGCAAATTTGTAAAAGAAAATCCAATGTCTTCAAAAGTATTCTACTTTCTCTATAAGAGATTCCTTACATTATTAGGCAAATATTTTTAAAATAACTTTTTGTAAATGAGCATATATGCAAATATTGTTATAGTTTTAAAACTTTAGTCCACTTACATATTCTTTGTAAATATTAACTAAACATTTGATATAAATAATTTTGTGTATAGAATAAATCTGTTTATATTTTATATATTAAATGCTTGAAGCATGTAGTATTGTTTTGTTACTTTTGTAAAAATGAGATTTTATAAATTTATTTAAATATTGGGAAATAATTTAGATAGTTAATAATATATTATATTGCATTTTGGTTGCTTGTTAATGTGTTTTTATTTTAATTGTAAAACAAAAATGTTTCTTTCCTGCATAGAAAAACATTTTTACTTTATAGAAAATACATTCTTACTTTATATAAATGATAGTTTTATTTTATTATATTATACAATAAATTTATATAAAATACAAGTTTTTTATTATACATGTCCCTGTTCTAGCTACATATTCTTCAAAATTTGGCCACTCAATAAGTATTAATTTAAAATTATTTTGGTAATTTTTATAAAGTACAGCTTTACGAAATGTATAAGTAATTAAATTTGGAAGTTTCAAACAAATTCTTATGGTTTGAAGAACTGAATTGTTATACTTAAAATAGACTTAATTTACTTATGTGTTTTAAAAACAACAAAATACAAAATAGTTTGAAACATTTTTTTGCAACTAATATTAAACCTGAGTTGGATTATGATTGTTTTAACGAAAAAATTTTCAAAAAAATACTTGCGGCGTTGGTCCTTTTTAACATTTTGAAATTATGTTTCGTATTCTTCATATTACTTAAATATCTATTTAAATTTATTTTAATTACTAATATTTTTTTAAGCAAATTGCGCACTTGTTAGTATGCTTGTTGTGGTAGTTTCGTTCTCTTCATCGCTAGCGTTTTGATTAAGTTTTTCAAAACCATTGTGTTTACTTCGATCTAAAAGTAAACCGCCCAATTTAAAACCTTCCGACTTTGCAGGGAAATCCCAAGCATGTCGTCGATTTTTCACACCGAATGGTAAACAACCTAAAAAATATTTCATTATTAGATATCACATAAATACACAATAAAGAAACATATAAATTGAGAGCACATATAAGCAGAAATTAAAATAAAAATATAAATTCATGCTTAAGAAAGTTGAAAATAAAAATAAACATTATACCTTGTGTTTTAAAATGAAAACTTTACTTGTACATCAATAATGTGCTAAAATAGAAAAATTAAATTAAAAAAAATTAAATCATTTGTTTCATAAATTTATTTCTTATTGATTGTATAAAAGCTGCGTTTTTGAGTTTATATATACATATAAAAATTTAAAAGTATTAAAGATTCATAAAATCAGTCAGTAAATATTAATTAAAATTAAAAATTTTGTAAAAAATATTTCGGATTTAATAGTTAAAATTCTTTTGATGCTGCCAGTTATATAAACAAAAACTTTATATCTAAGTTTTAAAATATTTTACACCTTATTAATTATATATTCAATATAAAATTTTTAGAAAAAATTCATAATAATAAAATATAATATTAAAACAATATATTCAGTTGCTAGTACAATACTGAAATTGTGATGTTATATATTATGTGATTTGAAGTTTTTTAATTTTCATTGTAATTACATATAAACTTATATTTATAAATTTTCATCACAAGCAGTTCAATTGGTTAGAACAAAGATACTAACTAATCAAATGCACAAAGTTTACAAAGGAGGAGAGAACTACTAAATCTTTAAAGATTTAAAGAAATTTACAAGCTCTTGCATAGATGGTAGAATTAAACAACAAATATTAGACTCACATAGCTGACAAAATACATTGAAATTATGATAGATTGAAATCTTTTTTATAAAAATATTTAAAATTAAACTAAAGTATACAAATACAAAAATAAAAAAAACTATCAATAAATAGCGTATTGACTTAACACATACAAATTACATAATTTTTTATACACACATATAAAATAAAACAATTTAAAATCTATTACACCATAAATCTATTACAAATAAATTGAAAAAAAAAACTTATTGAAACGGAAATAAAATATATATTACGGAACATTACATTTTAATAAAAGAACTAATAAAATTATAGATATGTTGTAAAAAAATTAAAAAAAATTATATAGTATTGTTTAGGGACAATCATCGCAAACATTTTGTGAGGACGCAACTAATTTACGATATACCAATTCACTTGGCTGTCCAACATTAAATTCTGGATTACCTCGTTTACGTCGGCGAGCAATTAGAAGTGCCAGCCCAAATGTGAATAAAGTAAATAGTAGCATTAGGCTCGCTACTAAAATTGCAGTACCGCTAGGATGTCTACCTGCTTTATTTGGCAATGTAGTGTTTTCATTTGTTGCGTTTGTGGTTTTAAATGCAGCTTTTGCAATTTCATATTCTGGCCCAACACCGGTTGTTGCTGTAGGTTTCTTAGACACAGACATTGAAGCTGTATTTGCAGCAGTTGTGTGTACAAATTTATGTATACGCGTTGGATTTAATTCCGCAACATAGATTTCGTTGCCATCTTTAGTGACTGCTACATCATGCGGATTTTCGAATTGTGAATTATTATATGGTCCAAATTTAGATACAACATCTTTTGTTTTCATATTCATTATATAGCCGCGTACTTCATTGTAGTGATTTGGATTCATACCCAATTCTGCAGTGGGTCCATTAACAATAACTAATTGGCCACCTTTAAGATATATTGATTGTTTTTAATAATATTTAACTACATATGTTTTTTATATATATATTTACCATTAGCTGGTGTATAATCCATACTAAATAGACGATCACCAATAATTTGATTATGATATTGTGAGTGAAATGTTCCATTTACCCAAAAGAAACACTGTACACGACCGTTTTCTCTATCAGCAGTACAGATTAGTTCTTGTTCTGGCACTAATGTGAGCGCATGTGGTATTGCAAAAAAGTTCTTAGGAGCGAACTCATACGAATCACCTTTGGAATGAGTTTATATATTAATTGTTTTGTATTAGTGCACTTACAAAAAATATTACCTGCAAACGAATTTTGACCCCATTTATTTATCATTTCACCATTTGGCGCATATTTAAGTATGCGTGCGTTACAATAACCATCCGCAACAAAGAAATCACCATTTTCTAATACAGCAACTGAGGTGGGTTTGCAAAATTTCGAATTACCATTACCGGGTGTAAAAGCTGTTCCTAAAATCATTAAGGGTTTATCATTTGAACCGGCTGGTCCAAATTTAAAAACTTGATGTAATGCTACATCAGTTACCCAAACGTTATTCTCATGATCAACTGTTAGTCCATGTGGCATATAAAATCTATAACAAAGGTAGAATGTAAATGAATTATATTTATATAGTTTAATATAGAGTGTAATAGCTTACAATTTCCGTCCCCATTCATAGACTAATTTTCCACTTTGTCTATCAAATGCTAAAACAGTGCTATTTATTATAGGGCCTTTACGCTTTTGTTGAAATATATTTGCATTGTCGAAAGTGTCCTGATCCCAAACACGATCGACTCGGTGGAATATAACTACGTTACCTTCCTTATCAAAACTTACAGCAGTTACAGAACCAAGATGTATATTTGTTTCAGGCCAGGAACTTTGGTGTACATAAGCTGAAAATTATGTTATAGTAATACTTTAAAGAAAGTTAGTTTAATTGTTCTTACAAGTGTTTAGTTTTGCAATTTCTTCTTTTACGTTTATCTTCTCTGATTTAAGCTTTAAGGCTTGCGGCCAAGTCACATCGGCACTACTCCCCTGCATAATTTGTTGAAAGCGTTTATTTACATTACGTGTTTCCTCATCTGGAGCAAGTGGAAGATATCTTTGCGGACTAGGATGCTAAAATATAAATATTTATAAAAAAGAAGTCAATCCATATAAACTATACATAGATTATTAAGAGAAATGCAATTATTATTTAGTTAATACTATATAAGATAGAAAATATTATGGTTCCAAGAACGACCGTCAATTTCGACTATCAAGTGTCGTTCAACAGTCTCTAAAGGGATTTTGCAAGCAGATCTCAGCGGGTTACTAAAACAGCACCAACAGATGTTATATACCATAAGAACTTCCAAAAATCGGCAGGGTCTACGCCTCGGAATCACTCTTCGAGTTCGACCACGAAATGTCGTTTAACACAACAATAACAACAATAGAAGATCTCATATACCATAAGATCTTCCAAGAACGGCAGGGTCTACGTCTCGACGTCATCCGTTGAGCTCGACGACGAAGTACCGTTTAAAACTTCTTTGAATAATTTTAAACGGAGGAGGAGTGCCGTTCAAAGTGGACTATACACGCAGGTCTTTGTGGGCTACAACAACAACAACCATTAGAACAACATATATATTTGAATAGATTGCATTGCATTGTTCAGAGCAAACTAAATTCAGCATTTGATTAAAGCGAATAAAACTTTGTTTATAGACTTTTTATTAAAGTACACTTAACTTTTGTTAAAAAATAATGGAATCAGTTGAATATAAATTGTTACATCTATCAAAAAATCAAATATGTGGTGATTTTCGAGGTATTTAATTAAAAAATGTTTACTAGTCTTAATTTCGATTTATTTATATAATATCAAAACAAAATTAATTTATTATTTTTAACCTAGATGTGTGTTAGCGGAGGGGAGCTACCGTTTGGATATTAGTTATACATCGTAAGAACAGACATTTTTAGTATGCATATTCATTAAGTCATTAATTTTATAAAACATATGTGTAACAAAAGTATGCAGCTTTAGCCAAGCCAAAGCAAACATATTTTTTTTGTTTATTTTGTCATCAGTTAATACACCTGTTACATTAAGACAATTATTACACCCACTCATTCAAATATGTATACTTAATAAATTTACTGCCGCTCAATGACGTCTGCGTATCAAACATTTATTTAGAGAATAATTTTGTTTGAATACGTCACAATATATAATCAATACATACAAATTTAATTCAACATTTTCAGTGTTTGTAGAATTAGCGTAAGCCAAAAACAGAACATATGGAAGAATTATTCGAGAAATATACTTTTATTTAGTGCACATAATTAGATGCTTGTATATATGGTTAAATTCTGTTTAAAAAGAAATAGACGATGTTTACCTCATTTGTCCTGGCAGTTATAATACAAAAAACACTAAACAGGAACCAGGTATATCCAGCCAACATATTTTTAACAGTTTAAGTACAAATTGCTCTATATTTTCTTAACAAAAATAGCTACTGCTATATTATCAATTGAATTAGACACTTCACCAAACAAACTTTTCTGCATCAAACATCAGCCAATTCGTGGCATAACAAAAATGTCAGCTGGCATGATGGCGTTGCCAGCTATAAAGATGAAACTAATAGTGCTACCAGGTGTTGAACATTTTTATGCAGTAATAGAAAAAAATAATGAACTAAATATGATGCTTCACAATTAAGCATCATTGTATACCATTTTGTAAATATTAGTGAAAAAAGCATGTATGTTTGCATTTTTACAATGCTAGATCGTTGCTATAAAGATATCAATATATTTTAAAATTTTATACAGCATATATTAACATATTATGTATGAATGGTAGACAATCATCCACGGTACAATAAATGTTTTAGAACGTGTTCCGCTTATGTTACTTTATATTATGTTAAAATTTAGATTTAACGAACTTCCATAGTATAGTTTTATAAGGATTTTGTGTATAAAATGACTCATATTGCTGCATATACATCGAGTTAGGTACAACAATCTAAACATAGCATTACCTTGGTTGTATTATATTTCCTAAATAAATATGTTAATAAAGTATAAAATTAATTTATATACATATATTTTTATTTGCAGCTGGTGTATAATTGAAGGGGTTAGTATACACCACATATATGAGAAATGCTGTATGATGGCGCTGAACTGTAAAAAAACCCTAAAACATTAGTTACTTTATCTATTTGTAAATGTGTATTAATCAATTGATAAGTTCGACAAATGTTAACATAAGAAAAAGAACAATAAGTCAAATATTCAAAAACTTGTATTGATGGGTCTTCCGAAAACGTAATTTGCTGATGTATTTCAAAATTTCTAAATTGCTTCCTATTTTGATTTTTTTTGGATAATCAAATAATCACTGAAACTTAAAAAAAATTGTTTGTGATTTTGAAAATTTATAAAACCTGTCTTGCGAATGATCTTTACATTTGCTAGTTTGCAAATTGTTTTTGGCTCATGAATGCGGCTATAGAGATATTGACATATTGACATTTAAGTGTACTGTTGAAGTTGTGAGTTGCTTTATTTACTTTTACGTTATAATTTTGATTTTTTGTGATAATAGCTAATTTGTCTTTCGCTTACTTGGGAATATTTAATAACTACTAATGTATTTATAAAATATTTTTTTAAATTTATTTCCTAATTATTGTTTACATATACGAACTAAGCCATACCATGTGGTTTTCGTAGTGCAAAATTTTGTTACTGTATTTTTATTATTAGTTTTATATATTATTTATTTTAAAAATGTGTTAAGGGAAAAACCCTTTTGTTGCATCATCTAAAACCAACGAAAAGAGAGATAAATAATATTTACACAATAACAATTTATAAAATATTAAATAATAGAACAAAAAAAAATTGGTCATAATACCTTTTTTTTATTAATTGATAATCATATATAAAAAATTTAGTTTTACATTTCAATAATGTTATTACGTTATATAACGTTAGAATTAATGAACTAAAAGGGAGTTTTGAACGTAGAAGTTATTCAATATTCATCAGTCGAGCACTTTTTGACAATATATACATACCATAAATATCTAGATAAGTTAATACAAAATGTCAGTAAACGTCAAGGAAAAATACAGCCGCTGTATACAATTGTCAAATAAAAGCCTTTGCAATTTTATTCTTGTACTTGTACTGCATTAGTTTTTGTAATTACCTGTTGTGACAAATATTTTGTGTGCAAATAGTTTTTAAAAGTAAGAAATGGATTCTACTGGTATAAATTTACATCCTAATTGGCGTGCACTAGCAACAATTCATATTCCTTTAAAACGATTTATACAGGAAGGTAAACAATATAACGAAAATAACTTGACTTCAGACACCCCACAGAAATATAATATTGAACATAATTTTGATGGCGAAGAAGTTAAACAATTTTACGAGAAAACAGTTAACTATAGTAAGCAACAGTTAAGAGATCAGCAGAAGACTGGCGTTAACAACTCTAATCCTAATGGAAGTAAAAAAGAATGTGTTGAGCGCAAAGTGTCATTCGAGCAAAGTAAATTTTTTCGGTATGCAGTCTCAAATAACATCGAGGAGCTTGGTAAAATCGATTTCACCACTGGAAACATCAATTCTTGTGATATTTATGGTTGGACTGCATTAATGATGTCTGCCTGTGAAGGTGCAATTGATGCAGTAAAATTACTCTTAAAACTCGGTGCAGACGTTAACATTAAAGACAGGTCCGGCTTGAAAGCAATAGATTTAGCAACCAAAAAAGGTTATACCAAAATTGTTACACTAATAAAAGAATTCAACCAGCAAGAAACAGTTGAAATTGATTTAGAGGAAGCTTCACCAGAGTTAAGAAAGGAAGAACCATTCTTTTGTGGTGTATGTAGAAAACAATTTACTGATACTAGTCTTCGCGAACATCAAACATCAACTGTACATCAATTCAATACAAAGTCTGAATTACCAATTAATAAACTTCAGAAGTTTAACATTCCTCCTAAGAATAGAGGTCTGCAACTAATGGTTAAACAGGGCTGGGACAAAGAAAGCGGTTTGGGACCAACACAAAGTGGTAGATTATATCCTATTAAGACTGTTTTGCGCAAACAAAGAACAGGATTGGGTATAAAGCAAGATGTACCACGTGTAACACATTTTGGCGCTTTTGATCTAAATGCTGTTAAACATAAACCTATGTTCTCTACTAAGAAAAGTCACACAAAGAACGATATGAAGCGGGAAAAACAAAGAGAATGGAAGAAAGAAAGACGTTTGCGTCATGAATTGAGCTAGTGCACACAATAGGCTTTGAATCAAAATTTTTATTTAACGTTTTTTGGTATTTAGATTTGATTTAAAAATGAATAATAGAGATAAAGACAAGATAGATGAAATATTCAAAGCATGCGAAAAAGCTGCTGATGATGTTTTAACACAAAAGGGACAAATTATTGCATTGAGCAAAAAGGAGGAGGATGTGCGTGTAGCAATACGTGAAATAACAAAGAGTACAGATAAAAAAGTTTGGATCACAATTGGCAGTATGTTGGTGAAAATTCAGCGGGAAAAAGCTCTAGAATTGCTAAAAAAAGGTATTAATTTAATTAGAAATCAAGCTAAAAACGAGCAAATTGAGTGGAAGACATATTTATGTTAAGCATATTTTTACTCAAACTACTCTTAACTACAATATTTTATATTATAATGTATGTATTTAATTCTAAAAAAATTTTTTTTTATTTAGATAAACAAGAAATTCAGAAAAATATTTCAATACTGAGGTCAGAGCAAAAGGTATCCGTAAATGAATTGCGGGACTACGAGTTTTTGAAGGAATATCCCGGTAGTAATATAAGACCAATGGATTCAAGAACAATGTCCACTTTAAAAAATCAACTGCACTTGTAATATAATAATAATAATACAATATTTTATAATATAACAATAATAATACAATATATTATAATATACAATATAATAAAATTAAAATATGTTATTGATAAAAATAAAAATATAAAGTATTATAATTTTTAGATATAGCAATATTTTGTTACTTTGATATTGTTATTAAATGTCGACAATAACAAGTACCTTTAGATAAGTTGCATGATAAAAAAATGTTTATTATATTATTGCAGAATGATTTCGAATAAATGATAACAAAAATTTGTAAAATTTTGTAGTTAATCTTTTAAAAATAAAACTAATTTATAAACTTAATAGATTCACAATGGCGAAATCTTTAGTCTAGTAGTATCTCCTATATTGATCCTTTTAATGATTGATATATTAATGTGAAACAGGTAAATGTTAAAGCGATGGGTTGCTAGTGTGAATAGTAACCTTGTTGTGAAGGATGAATGTTAATTAGTCGTCTGAATAGATATATGGCGCTAAGGCGTAGACCTAGCCGCTCTTGAATTCTGCCCTGAAATTACTTGGCAGAATGCACTGTGACAAATGGTCCCATTTTGAAAAATTTTCTTTGAAATGTTTTTGTAGCTATGGTAGCTATTGGTTTTGGATCGACGTTAATTTGATATTTTATATAAAAGATCGTGTGCTTAGATACATCTACAGAAAGTTACAACCAACTCATAATTATTAGCGAACGGAACAGTTATTGTATTTGGAGTCGTATATTATTTCTGTCTTGTCACCGATTTAATAGTTTTTAAAATATTTTAATATGTAGGTGTATAGGTATTACTATTTTCATCATAAAATTGTTTCATTTAGTAACATTCCATTAAATGTTTATACCACATTTGTTTATAATAATTATTAGCTGTTAAACTTATATTGTGTTTACATTTAGATTTATCATATCTGTTTAGTATATTTTTATATGGATTTTGCACAAAAAATGACATAATAGGTCTGTTCCGCGAGTTACTCGTAGTAACATTGGGTACCACTGTATATACACAAGTGCGTTCCACCAGCAAATTTTCTTGTTTTTTCGTGTAAATTTTACTTGAGTTTTCCACGAGTAGCTCGTGGAACAGACCTGTTAATGCATATTTGTCGTGTTAAGTGCAGTAGTCTAAACATAGTATTCAATTTGATTTACTTGATCATTAGAAAATCATCCCATCTTACACCATTACAGAACAAAAGAAAACTAACAAATTGATCTGCTGCAAAAAGTTTTTGATAGAAAATATAAATGCTTATTTTTTTAATCATTTCATTTATTTCTTCGAAAGTAACGTTATAGTTATATTTACTTATTTATTTGTGAGTTAACATTAAAATATACTGCCAGGTCCTTCGGTCTGATAATAGTTATATATATGAAATTAATAATATAAATTAATAATATAATTGCCACCTATTAATAATTAAATCGAAATGAATAATGTGGTGCGATCAGTTTTTACTTCAGTTCAAATAATTTGAATTCATGTTTATAGAATAACTATCGATATTTTTTATTTATATCGAAAAAAAAATTGTTCTCAATAAAGAGCTTTGGCCACTATTAAAAAGCTAAAGTTCTCTCACTACCACATTAATAGTAGTTTTGCACAAGTATGAGAATCACATTTTCTTGGTGCTCTTGCGTATTTCTTGTTTGCCATTTTTATTCGTTACATTCGTATTGACGTTCTGCGACTTGTCGTCATCAAATTCTTCTGTCCCGGAAAAAAGTCAATTTTTTCTTTTGTTTAATTCTTTTTAATTAAATAACACTACAATTTGTAATCAATTATTTGAAAACTATTAAACTCAAATACATTTGTATGGTGGTCAAAAGCAGAGTGCGTTTTAAATTTTAAAAAATTTGGTTATATGAACATTTATATGCATTACAGTGCAGTTTGTTGTGTTTGCAATTGTTTAATATATGTATATAAAAAAAAATTGATTACGTTTTCGATATATCTAAAATAATATTAATTTTAATAATTTATGCATTATAAAAATATATATATTTATTGTGTTATGTATTATATATAATAAATAAAAATCATTAAACAACGAATTGTGTATAGAGTAATAGAAAATGTGCGCTTACGTTGGTTTATGTGTGGTGAATTTGTGAACGTGAATAAAGTAAATTAATTTGACTTTTGTGTTTTTATTACAAATTATATATATATATAAATATATGTACATGAACAGTAATAATATATTTGATTCTTTGAAAGAGTAAATAGTAATGAAAGAAGAAAAATTAACTTTTTAAATTATATATAATAAATAAGGAAAAGTTTATGAATAAATTTTCCCACAACAAAACAAGTGCTTTTTCACCACATCATAAACGCAAATACTATAAAATGTGTGAGCTTGCAAAAGCAATTTCGCCCTTGTAACTCTCCTCTGTTCTGTCAAAACACGAAACGTAAACTTTTTTCAAGTTCATAATTTTACTCTCTATTGCAAAATTTAACAACGAATCTTGGCGCTGAATTTATAAAATTTGCCTTTGATAAGAAAAGGTACCCCGGAACTGTGTTTGCAGACAAAGTTAAGGCAACATACACAGATGTAGTAAAAATATTTATGTAAATAAATTTAATAAGTAAATAATAAAAAATAAAAAAAAATATGAATATAAGAACATAAGGTAAGTTTCATAAAAAATTTAATTTATTTTTGCTTTGTTAAAAATTCCTAATATTGCTTAAAAGTACATAAATTGGTTAGAATAATTGTTTGCGTTGTAAGTTTAATATTTAATTCAGTTCAATAGAATTTTTAGTTTAAATAAGTGAGATTAGTTGTGTAATATTGAAATAAATAAGATTTGTAATTATCGGAAATTTTTTAAAGTTTTGTACTTTTTGTATGGGAAATCAGCTTACGTACAAATTTTCCCGCTATTTTTCATAGACTTTGTTACGTTAATAAGTAATAATTATCAGTTGTTGTGATTTTAACATAAAACGAAACAAAAATTCTAGTTCAAAATTATTTAACTTACGCTTGACTACAGACCCGCCTTAACAGTTAGAATATATACATTAAGTTCTGTCTGTGTACAGACATAAAAAAAAAGTGGTATTATCAGGAACTTCTTCAGGTTTTTGCTAAACATTTTTTGCATGCTCCGATTATATTACACAAAAAATTTGTAGGTTTTGGTTTAAAATCAATTTGGTACAGAACCAGTTCACAGTTCTGCTCCAAAAAGGTAGACATAGCCAAGGTAACTAAGGTAATTTTAGTTATCCGACTTACAATTCTTATATTTCATTGCTTATGGAGATAGTGACAACAATATCTAATGGATATATAGCTCAATTTTGTTTTGAGCTATATTAAGAGTATATAAATTTTGTGGCCTGTTAGGCAGATTTACGCACTCTTCAAAGATATTAAAACATTTTTTGTGTCCTGAATTCTTCAAAACCGTAAAATTTTCTTTAAAGCTGCTATTTACCAATATTTATCAGATAGTATTTAGTATTCAGATAGTATTTAATATATAGTACTATAATTCTATGCTGGCCTTCAACATTTTTATTGTAACTTCATGCAAATTCGCATATTATCCAATTCTATTGGTATGAAAACTGCTTCTCAAGCATATAAAACAGTTGTTACTTAAGACATTGATTTTATTAAATAATTTTTGCGTTCCATCCTGTATGTAGATCAATATCTTTCTCAATATCTTTTGCTCTGACATGTCATGAAGTATTGAAAAACCGCCTTGGGGCGGTGTTTTGTAGTGACTGCGATTTATTCAACGTGAACTTTGGCGAAATGCTATACAGCCGATAAATATCTATATAATCAGCATAGCCGATATAGTATAGAATTCTTTGTAAAATATTGCGAACATTAATTGCAAAAAATACGGTATAATACGGTATCACAATGGGCCTATAGGCCTAAGTGGAACCCCCCTGGGATCGCCGGTATAACCTAACCTTACCTAATTGCATAAAAATTCTTAAAACTTCATGTATTATAATTTAAACCAAATTAAGATTATTTATCTCTTTGTATAAAAAAATGTTTTACTTTGGGGAAACAAATAAAATATAATATAGTTAACTTTTACTATTACATGTATCCCATTCCCATGTACTTTACTTAAATAAAAATATTAACTATGTAGTGTTCCAAGTCCAACAAAATATCCTGTTACTCCACTGTTTAAATTGTTGTCGAAGAAATCTGCGAATGATGTCTCAAAATGGAACAAAATTAAGTTAAAAATCAAGAAAAAAATAATGTATGCGAATAAAATTCCTTTACATTAAATCAAGTTTCTGTCAAACCGAGCACTTGATATACTACATATTCGCTAAGTCAATACAACTTTACAAAACAAGATATGTAACTTATAGATACAAATATACATTTGCGTTTAATTTTATTTAAGAATTAAAAATTTGTTTTGTTTTTTGCGGTTATGTGTTGTACTCGAGTATATAACTTTTTTTTTTCATTAAAATTAAAAAAAAACTTGTTGACTTAAGTCCACACTTCAGTATGCTGTTTGTCCATCTTTGAATAATACAAGTAATGATTTCTTCAATTAGAATTCGTTTTTGAAAGTACTTAAAATTTGATTTGGTTTTTTAATTTGCAATTACTTTAAACATATTAAAATATGTTTTTTTCATCTTCAAAAAAAATTTGATATAGTATAGAAATATTTGTAGTTACTAACATAGCTAATAACAAAAAAAGTTAGTACATATAAAATGTTTAACACTCTTTTTTTAACAGTTTTTATTTTTAAATTTGTAATATTGTTGATCCCATATTAAGGATCATTTATATAACAATATATATATAACAATACATAACAATAATTCGTAATACATAACAATATAACAATACATATATAACAATTTTGAACTTTATTAAACATATGACAAAAGTATCTATTATTTTATTTGTTAGGCATTCGTTTGCATTTCAATATATAACTATATATGAAAAGGTCTAAGTAAGCCTTGTCTTCCCTGAGATAGTTTGT